ATTTTTACATAGTTTTTAAACTTAAACTAAATATCAATCAATGAATTGTTTGTTTCGTTGGATATATAATCAAAATATTCTTAAGTTTTTCAATATTTTTTAGACAAAAGTAAAAATATATTTCTTATGATATGATATAAGGGTTTAACGAAGAAATCAATATAAAGACTAAAAACTTAGTAAAGTTTTTAAAAATAATAATAAGTTTACGTTTTCTGGAATTTAAAGTAAATACAGTTTTTTGTGTATAATTTTTATGTTCAAAGTATTGATAACTTATATCAATATAATAGAGATTTGTTCACAAAATCATTAAATGAATGAATGAATGAATGGATGAGATAGAGATGTGTCGGGCTTTTGGGGGAACGACTGATGTTTCGGATCAATAGCTGACTTCAAGGAGGTTGTGATGCGCTGACAGCGAGTTATGACTGTTCTCGTGGTCGGTGTTGGTCTGCGAGTCGTTCATCGAGGCGTTGGTGAGGCCGTCGTCGGCCACGATATTCATGAGATGGTCGCGATGTCCGCGCGACGACCCCGAGTGGAAGCGTCCGCCTTCGCCGCGGACCCGATTCATGGCGTGTTTGTGTCGAGACTCGTGCAGGTATTTCCTCCTTTCCTTAGGTATGCGTCCGTCGGCCTCGAGCTTAGCCCTGGCCTGTCGTCGCTTAAGTATTCGGTGGTATTGTTTGGCGTTTACATACAGCGGCTCCTCTTCCAAGAACTCGGCGGCGCCGGGAAGTGGTATTCGTTGGACAGTCTGGAGGCCTCCGGCACCGGGCACTACCATCACTATGTTCTGCGCGCCCAACGCCGCCGCGTTCGGCAGCGTAATGGCGGTGCCGGTCGACTGTCCGCCGGCCGACGCAGGGCTCTGTTGGGCCACGTGTTGGGCCGCCTGTTGGACGGCCTGAGCGGTGGCGTTGTTGATGAGCGAGTTGGCCGGCAATTGGATCACTCCCTGAGCCGTCTGCACGAAATTGGATCCGTCGACAGTCAGCGGCTGACAGACAATGGTCTGGCCGTCAGCTGTTTGTAGTATTTGTCCGTTTTGTGGCTGTTGTATAATGAACTGCTGCCCCGGCATGAACTGGATCTGCTGGATCTGTTGGCCCGCCTGGCCCTGCAGTTGGATTGTCTGGCCCTGAGGTAATGTCTGAACCATCAGCTGTTGTCCGCCCATAATCGAGCCCTGAGGTGACACTTGGATCACCTGTTGCTGGGCCTGAGTGACAGATGTCTGGCCACCGGATGTCACCTGAATTGTCTGACCGGTTTGGATACCATCTGCCGAGGAGGTGGTGGCAGCGCTTTGGAACTGATCCATACTATCAATACATACAACACTATCAGTCAATGTCTTGTGTTTA